TGTTTTGTTAAACGTGCGATGGTCACGTGACTTGCAAATGCAACATGGCCGGCGACGAAATAATGTTGCCTCATGCGAAAAAAAATAAATGACGAAGGGGGACGATTTTATTATTGCTAGGTGGTAGTATCCGCGAATACATAGTTATTTATTTTGGGCAACATTTTTGATATATTCATTGTTAATAATTGAAAATGTTATTTGGATATGAAATAGTGGTATTATATAATAAATATTTTCATTTTAATTATTTTAATCAGTCTGAAACACACTCTTCTTTTATTTATGGTTTGACATACATACCGATACAAAAATTTAAATCACAGTAAGTTGAAGTTGTCATCGTATACGTTGATTTTATCACAAACTTCAAATTTGTTTATTTTACCATATTTTGCTAATTTTGAAAACAATCAACGATATTTATAACACTAATGAATTTATTCGTTAATAAGAAAAAAATATATATATCTTACCTAATATATTTTATATTCTAGTTATTTAATTTTATTTCAATTTAAATATTTTAAATCAGTGTTTGCTTATCATCATAGATAAATGAGCATAATGCTTATCATTTACAAATTATTAACTTGTGACAGTAAGGACTAGTTTTATTAGTTATTAGATATTAGATTTACACACAAGTTATTTTCTGGTAAGTAATAAGTTAATTGCTAGTTATTAACTTCCTAAAGCACTAGATCAGCAGACAATCAGTCAAGCAGTTTCTTCATTACTAGAAAACTAAGTGCAAAAATTTTCATTCATGTTTGTAAATCCGTAACTTTCAGTAAATTTCAGCCAGACTAATCCTGACAGTTATCTCATAATTTTTGTCTTCCAGAGAAAAACATGAAATAAAAGTTTTGTATTAGCTACAAAATGTAAATGATACTGTAAGTAAGTAGATAATGTTGTAACATTGCATATTACAATAACTATTGATATGGTTTTAATAAACTTTTATTTGATAATTCCAGTGATAACAAATTATGGAAAAGATTTTATTAATTCAATCAAACATTGTTCATAATAATGTCATTTTTCAATTATATAATTTGTTATATATTTAATATGTAACGATGGTTAAAAAACCATTTCATCTTTACCAGACGTCGAAAATAAATGTTTGTTGATTCATAATAATACTTAAACAGAGAAGAAAATGAGTTATTGAATAGATAAACAAAATCTCTCTATGTTTATCTTGTTCTTGACTAGTTATGCACTGTGGTTGAGGACTGCTGTATGCGCTCAAGTTCCTCAAGCGACAGAGCATTTTGCGCCAGATTGACTGGGGGTAATTTTCCAGCAGAAGCCTGCGCTAGCAGTTCAGGGCTGAACCAGCGAGCTAACTGATTGCTAGTTGGAGAGAGGGCTCCATCCCTTTGGTTAAAACCCATCAAACCTAAAAGAATTATTTCACATTGAAACATTAATTGGTCTCATGAAAAAATCTGAAACAATTTAAAAATACAATAATTAATTATACTAACCAGTATTAATCATAGAGGTGTTCAGCATCTGCTGATGCTGATAGTTGGTACGCTGTAAATGCTGCTGTTGGGCATGAACTCTGTTCATGGTATTGTTGTAAGTTTGTCCAAAAGCAGGTGTATTATTCTGCTGGACAGAGTTATTGTACTGTTGCATATTTGGATATGCAGATGTCATGTTGTTGTGACCTAAAAAAATATATAAAAGTTAAAATTTACAAACTTGAACCCAATATAATTGATTTTAATTATTAATTAGAATTTTTAATTGGTATTCATTTGTATGAACTTATGAAGGCATTCTGGTCTAGAGGCATGAACTTGATGTGATTTTTCAAGAGGCTGTAAAAAAAAATAAGACAAACAACGTTTTAACATTTCTTTTTTACAAGTTATTCAATAATGTTTTGAGAATATAAAAAAATAATAATAAGCTAATATACATTCTAAACACAAACAAACTATGATTGCAACTAAAATTGCAATTAATGAAATATTTTTAATTGTAATTAATGCAAACTTTTGTTTTGTTTCGATATCCTAAAGCTGGTGTTCTAAGTGGAATACAATTAATCTTAATGTGGAAAATGCAGTTATGAAACCCATACATTGATGACCCATTACAGGAAATTTCTAAATTGTAAAGATTGAATTATTAAAAACAACTGTACAAGCTGTACCCCATCACATACTGCTGTGTTATACATATGAATAAAAATCTTAAAAATGTAGTCATTATGATAGCAAATGTTAGTTGCTAGTTGAACAGTATTGGAAAAGCATCAGCAAACTTTTTTTTGTTTTTATGTTTTATTAAAATTTTTAATATTGTGTATACCACAACAGCATGTGATCCAGTACAACAACTATTAACACAAATAGTTTGTTTCAAAGAACCACACACAAAAACTTATCACCTTAAATAGCATAAATATTGTTTGAACAATAAAAAAATATATTCTGCGCCTACTGAAATGTTCCAGATTTTGAATAATAAATATAAAAAAAAACCTGATCTGACCTATTAACCTGAATATAACCCTATAATCTCTCTATGAACTTTACACATTCTTTGCTTAATAAAATCGTCTTCGCATCATGAAGAAAAAGAAGATGAAGGGAAGGCGAGGTATAGATGTACATTATTAATTGATATACTTACTTTGGCCAAAATTTAATTTATTTCGAGCTTGCATATTGGCATATTGGTTCTGCATTTGCAACTCCAAATTTGCAGCATATTGTATTTGAGAATGTTGTTGGTTAATCATCGACATACCTCCATTCCCTTTCACAATGGGTCGACCTGTAATATTTGTATATTGAATAAAGGTATTCATCACCTAGAAATGATTAATTTCAATATAATTTACCTTGAGGTTGCTTGCCCATATTCCAATTGGCACCTGCTACTGGCCGGTTTTGACTATGATTTTGCCTGGCATTAAGAGCCGGACTTGAAACTAAATTTTTATCCTTAAGATTACCATTGGCAGTCGCATCACCTAAAACGATTAAAATAAATAATTTCTTATCTAATCTATAAATGTATAACAGAATAATCGTGAATTCTCATACCTGCAGCATTATTCTTGACCATTGAATCAGGTTCCTTTTCAGCCGTCATCTTTCTTAATACAGAAGTCGGAGTAAAAGCCAAAGGTGTTGGTGATCCTACATGCTTGGCTGGCGAACTATTGGCGGCAGAATTGTTAGAATTCTGCGAAATAACAGAGTTGTTGGCATTAGGAGAATGAGACCTCTGCATCTCTTGCCGTTTGCGGAAGTTCTCAGATTGCTCTTCCAATTTTTTCTTGATTAGAGCACCTTGCAGAATATTTCGAGTATGCGCTTGAAGTTCCATTGGAGAAGGCATTCGAGGAGGAATCACTAGAAATGAATAACGTCCAAATAATATTAATGTTACAAACATTA